GCTGTTCTCTGTTTGTTAATTCGGCTATAAGTTCGTCTTTCTTTAATAGGTACACCCAACTAACCTTCGACGTTTCCGGAGCGTCTGTCATTTTTGAACTGTGAATCACCCTGTATTTGATTAAAATTTGAAATGTAGTACTGTCTCATGAAAATAAAATTCGGAATTCGGTCGGTATTATTGTTTAAAACGTATTTTTCTGTTTGGGCGCCATTTGTGATGTCCTCTCGTAGGAGTCACTATCCGGGTAGCTTTTAGACAGTCAGAGACAGAGTTCAAAACAAAAATAAAACTTTATTGTCTTCCTTAAATTAAATTGACAAAAATCTTATGTACATATTTACAATTTGGTTTAGTCTTCTCAGTACCTGGCCTATTTATTCAAATTAAGTTTGACCTTGTCATATGAAATTAGTTTTATCGGCAAGCGAATGTGTATTTGAAATTTTACGGGAACGTTGTATCGATTTAATAACAGCGGACGATAGGTACAAAGAAAGGAAAGGAACTCAACACGTTCCTTAAGTGATTCGAGTTAACAGGACACTCCTCGACAGTCTCAACACGACTGCTTCAGAGTATGGGTAGTGAAGAGATCAACACGCTCTTCGGGTAACGGCGGTATGGGACGGAACAACTTGTGAACTCAACACGTCCACAAGCCGGGGTAGGAAAGAAGAGAACCTTCAGTCAACACCTGTCGATTCTCCCTCTATGAGGAAATGTTGCGGTTTATATAGCGGAGCTTGCTAATTAGTTTTGCCCTTTCTACTGTCGATATACTCCTACTTCATGGGTTGGTTCGCGCGCACGCTGGTTTAACGGTGATGGCTTGGACTCATTGTTACAGAAGGAATATGGATTAGGATACGGGTGGGAAAGAGATATTATTCATTACAATGTGTAATAATGCCAAATATGTCCCATGACATGATTGTGGGGGTGGACGAACTGTCGGAAAAACATGTAGTGATAGATTTTAAAAATAAGCTGATGAAAATGGACAATGAAATCGTGGAACTGGAGGAAAAAATGGAGAAAAGCAAAGAAGAGGATATAAAATATTTAGAAGCAACTAAAAAACGTGAAGTAGAAACAAATATGGCAATAAAGCAAGTAGGACAAATCAATAACTGGGAACCATCAAAAGAAATTGACATAAATGAGGAAAATAACAGTGCTTGGAAGTCATGGTATGGAGTGAACTTAGAAGAGGAAAAGAAAGAAGGAGATTTGTTTGTAGAGAAAGAAAGAGAAAAGGAATTGAGTGATGATAAAGCTGAAGAAGAAAAGAAAGAAGGAGACTTGCTTGTCGAGAAAGAAAGAAACAAAGAATCGGACATACAAAAGAAGAAGAAGAGTTAATGGAGACTTTAGTAATTGAAGAAGAACACGTTTCTCAACAGAACTTGGAATATGAAATTAACATATGTGAGCAAAAAGGAAAAGGTGAAAGAAAATTTATATGTGGAGGAAGCATGTACAATGAGATACATCAAATTCTACAAAACTACGAGGAATTAATAAATGAAGAAAATAGAGTGGCGAAAAATTACGAACATTCATTTGAGGTGAAAGATCTGAAAAATTTCAGATCAAAAACGTACCGAATCCCTTATAAATACAGACAAAACGTCAAACAAGAGATTGAGATAATGATTAAAGATCAGATTATCGAAAGATGTGATTCGCCATATATAAGTCCCATTGTAATTGTAAAGAAAAACAGCGGAGAATTGAGGCTATGTCTTGACGCAAGAAACATAAATCAACACACTGTGGCACAATACGAATCACCTTTGAATATTGATGCTATTTTTGGAAGAATAACAGGAACACATATATTTTCAAAGATTGATTTAAAACATAGTTTCTGGCTGATTTCTTTAGCAGAGAGATGCAGAAATTTTACCGCTTTTTCAATTGACGGAATAGTATATCGTTTCAAAGTGGTTCCATTTGGATTACAGAGTGCATGTGCAGCCCTCGTTCGGGCATTAAATACCATTCTAAATCGATATGAAGATTTCGTGGTTCATTATATAGACGATTTGTTAATTTTCTCACCAAACGCTCAAAGTCATTTAAATCATATAAAAATTGTATTACAGGAATTAGATATAGCGGGCCTTAAACTAAACATTGAAAAGTACCAATTTTTCCAAACAGAAGTGGTATATTTAGGTTTTAAATTAGATACAAAAGGGGTTAGTCTAGCGGAGGATAGAGTACAGATCATAGATGAATATTCGAGGCCGAAAAATTTAAAGACGTTAAGGGGTTTCCTCGGAATGATAAATTATTTAAAAAAATTGATGCCAGATCTTAGTGAAAAGGAAATAGCTTTGATTAAACTATTAAAAAAGGATAAAAAATGGCAATGGAAAGAGGAACAGGAAGAAGCTTTTGTACAGCTTAAGAAAGAATTTGCCAAAGGAGTTAAAATTTATCATCCAATATATGAAATACCATTTATATTAAAAACTGATGCGTCTATTAACAAGTTTGCGGGAGTATTAACCCAAATGCAAAGTAGCCAAGAAGTCCCTATATGTTGTGTATCCAGAGTAACAAAAACACATGAAAAAAAATATAGCGTTACAGAGTTAGAATTTGCGAGTGTTTTATTTTGTGTTAACAAGTTACGATACTATCTATTGGGTGCTAAATTCACAATAGAAACGGATCACGCGGCTTTAATACACATAATGAAGAATAGATTAGTGAACAATAGGATACATAGAGGAATACTATTACTACAGGAATATGATTTTGAATTTAGATACATAAAAGGAAAAGATAACATTCTGGCAGATGCTCTTACACGAGATGAAGAGACAGGAAAAAAGGAAGCGATTCAAATATATGTGGGATTAAATGTATTAGTAGACGAAGAAGGGATATTTTCATTGAATATGATACGTGAGGATCAACAAAATCTAGATGATAAGGAAAAAAGTAGGGCAGAAATGGAAAATGAAATATTATTCAAAAGAATAGATGGAAAAGAGTTGTATTTGATTTCACAATTATTGGGTAGAAAAATAATGGAAAAGTTACATCAGGAGAATGGTCATATGGGCAGCCGAAAAGTTTGGTTATTGTTTAGGGAGAATTATGTATGCAAACGAGATTATAGCGTGGCAAAAGATATGACAAGAGAATGCCACATATGTCAGATATATAAAAGTCGAAATTTTCGAAACGAAAATGTGACAAAAAGTATAATGCCACAGCAAAAGATGGATATTGTTGCCATCGACATGTTGAGTGATCTGATTCCTACATCACAGAGATAGAAGCATGTTTTGGTGATGGTTGATGTTTTTTCAAAATATGTCAAATTATATAGCTGCCGTACCACCAAAGGAGAGGAGATATTGACCAAGATAGACAATTTCATAGCCAGTGTGGGAACACCCAACAACATTTTGTTGGATAACGCGACATATTTTAGAAACGATCGTTTTAAGGGAAAACTTAGAGAGAGAGGAATTGAGACAAAGTTTGTGAGCATTCGTCATTTGTTGTCGGTAGAAAAAAATTTCATTTCAGCAAATGGCGGGGAGTTGTTAAGGTGCCCAAAAATTGTTATTTGGAAATAATCTAAAAAAATAAGAATTTTGTTTACTTAAGAAAATGTATAAAATTATATTGTCATTAAAAATAAGATATGTAAATTAGTAGGCTTATTAGAAATGAAAGCAATACATTTGAATAGAACGTGATTAGTTACGGACATAGGGAAAATATTCTTGGATGAATTTTGTTTATTAAAATGGGAAATTTTGCTATTACCAAATAAACGGAAATTTGACTTGGCAACAAGATTGCTTTGAAAGGAGAAAAAAACGAGAGGTTTGCGTTGACAATAACTTTGACAGACGTCACTTTGTTTAAAATTTCCGAGTGAAGAACAATTTTTTGAGAGCTTCGCCAGTGCGGGTAATAGAAAAATTGATGAAGTAAAAAGTCAGTCAAGTATTGAGTTTTTGTGTTGTGTTGCTGGAGCCGAGAAAGGTAGAATTAATATTACCAAAAGGTAGTCTTCGTGATTTTTTCCTGGCGGGCCATATAGAAGCAGTTAAAGAGCCCTAAGAAGGAACCTTACCAAAGCTAATGTAAGTTTGTTTTCTTTGTTGTAAAAATTACCGTGGCGAAGTACTTCAGTTAAAAGAAATCTTCTAAGAGGGACTCAATTAATAGTTAATTAATTTTTTTATATTGTCAGGAACATTTGCTGTGTTAATATTTAATAATAATCGAAAGACTTAAAGTTTAGTATTGTAGTATTAATTTTCATAAAGGTTTTTACATGGATAAATTCTAATTAATATTTTTTTTAAATTTGGTAAATATAATCTTATTTGTTTATTGATTGAATATTTGTATATTATTTTATTTCTTTCCTTTTCGCCATCTTACCTAAAATACAACGAGATAGATATTTGAAGCACGACCCGGATAATAAATTGGGGATTTGTTGGTAAGTTTTGTTTTTTTGATAACAATTAATTAAATAATCGATAAATATAGATTTTACTTACCATAACAATATATATATATATATATATATATATATATATATATATATATATATATATATATATATATATCGCCTTATCGAATTTTTAACATATTTTCAACTTGAGTTTTCGCCAAATTCACAATGTATAAATTAATTAGTTAACAATTTCTCCAATCCAACGACAAATTCAAATGGATGAGTTATTTAAAAAAAATAAGGCTTGAAGTATGTTTGTTACTTTAGAAACGACATTTCAACGCTTAATATTGATATTTTTTTTGCAAACTTTAGATTGAATTTTAATAGTCAAAGAGTCTCTTTTCACTCCTTACATACTTACATACAAACAATATATTATTAATAGCGAAGTCGTACCAAGTATTATGAGCAATTCCATACACTACCAATTTGTGATGTTTCCGATAGTATTATTTCCGTCAGCCTAATGAGATTTCTAGCAATAAAAAGAATTCACTAAAATTCTTATAATTTAATTAAAAAATTCTCAGCCACATAAATTTAAGTGTAACATAAAATGATTTTAAAACTAATTTTCTGTCATGATATCCTGATATAGAGGTAAGAGATGTTCTTTAAATATAGAACTGCACATTCCGTGTGTAATTTTTAAAATGTCTTTTGCCTTTTTCAAATGGGCCAGAGCATCTGCGCAACAATCTTGATGTAGCAATAATTTTGCAAGTTTTAAATGCAGTAAACCTATCATTGGATGAACACTGCCATAATATTCACTAAAATAAAATAAAATTTCATTAAAAGCATTATAATTATCGAAATTACAGTAATACAAAATATAATAACAAAAAATATAGATGACATGCTCGACAAACACTAGAGAGTGACCAATAGTATTGAAGATGAAAAATTACAAAGACATGCAAGATTAGAACCACAGATAAGAAATTAAACAATTCATTTTAACGCTAAACATCACTCAAAAGACAAGAAGTAGTTAAACTGTATTTGATGCAAAAGGAAAGTGTAAGATATTATCTTTACCAAACATCACCATCAGTTGGCGCTACAACTCTTGATGAGCCCTGGCTCGCCTCAAATGATTCTTCCATCCTTCCCTGTCGAATGTCTGTCTTCTCCATCCCTTTACTACAATCTACTTTATATCGTCCTGCACATCGTCCAGATACCTGAGTTTAGATCGCCTCCTTCTTCCGACCGACCTATTAGCATGGTTATTTTAAAAGGATCACTTTCATGCATCCACATGTAATGTGGACAACATCCTCTTAGGAATCCTAAACGAACATAATAATCTATTCACCCACTATTCATGACCATATGCCACGACTGACAGAAGTATTTAAAAGGTTTAAGAACAGCAAATTAAAAAATACACCCATATAAATTTGAATTTTTGAGGAAAGAAGTATCATATTTGTGCCACCTAGTAACAGAACATGGAGTAAAAACAAACCCTGCTAAAATATTATGTATAAAGAACTTCCCGGTACCACAAAACAATACAGAAATAAAATCATTTTTACGCTTAGCCAATTACTACCAAAGATTCATTCCAAATTTTGCCAAAATTGCAAAAGCTCTACTAAAATACTTCAAAAAGACGTACCTTTTATTTTTAATTCTGAATGCAAAGAAGTCTTTAATGACCTCGAAAATATTTTAATATCAGACCCAATTCTTATACATCCAAATTTGGAGGAACCATTTTTACTTACTACTGGCGCTAGTGCAATTTCAGCCGTTCTATCGCAAGTCCATATAGAAAAAGATTTACCCATTGCATCTGCCTCCTGAACACTTTGCAGTGTCGAAACAAAATATTCTACTATAGAGAGAGAATTATTAGCTATTGTATGGGCAGTAATACTTAAAAACATATCTTTTGGGTAGTAAATTCACTCTCATTACCGATCATCGACCACTTACATGGCTTTTCTCGATAAAAGATCTCGGAATCCGGTGAGCGCGTTGGCGACCAAAACTCGAAGAATATATACAATTATAAAATAAAACACCGTTCAGGAAAAATAAGCAGAAATACAGATGCTCTCTCAAGTACAAAGATTAAGCATTTCAAGAATTGTGCAAATTTTCAATAACAAATATCGTTACATGTAACGAATAGAGACGAAACGGAGACAGAAGAAAATCAAGACGACGATAATGAAGAAATTATAGAAAAGATATCCGAAGAACTTGACAAGTTTTTGAATTGTATAGAACCAAATCGATAATCGATTATTCTAAAATTGAAACATCGAATACGAAATTTTTAGATAAATCTTATAAAAATATTGTTGCCCTTTTTCTGGCAAAATAACTTGAGGAACTTTACGAGAAAATAATTTTGTGTCTAAAATAATCTCGAACTACATATTCTAGAAATATTTTCTTATTTTTGCTAACAAAGAATTAAAATGAAGAATCTGTCAAAATATAATTATTACAGCCAGCGATGACGAAATCACCCAAATTCTCTATCATTACCATTGTGGCAAGAACAATTTACACCGAGAGATAAATGAAACTTTCAGAAGAATAAAGGAAAAATGCGATTGGAGGAACCTAACAAAAGGTGTCAAAAAATTTATAAACGCATGTGAAATTTGCCAAAAGGTTAAGATTTGTAGAAAAAACTTAAGTGAACCACTCTTATGGTTAATGGTCAATCAAACTGTTTCGACATAAAAACGATTGTTTTAAACATGAATTAATCTCATTTGCATATGTAAAGATGTAACATTTTTCTAAAGTAAAATAATTTTTCACTTTCAACACAATTTGACGCTCACTCGGAGATAAAAACTTATATTTAGGTGTTCCTTCGTTTTTTTGTACGTTATCCATTGTCACTATTGAAAACCGGAAATCGTTGAATACTAGCGAGATTTTTCGGAGTTCTCTGAATATATACACGAGGGGGCGGAGCCTCAATGGCAGGGCGCGTCGGTCATTGGCCGATGAGTCCGGTCAATGGAGAGCCTCGACCCGCAGACTGTATACTATTGTTGCAAATATAACAACTAATTATTAAATATCATTATTATATATTATATATATATATATATATATATATATATATATATATATATATATATGGGGTGTAGGGTTGTGTTATAGGGGTAGCACCTTTTATCGGAACGACCACATCAAGTGTCATAGACGGGACATGGTTCTTGATAACTGGTCCTCATAAGACACCCAACTCTCACCTATGGCTCCACGTGCCACACCCCGGGAAACTGCATTGGTCTACAGGCTAAACTAAGTGAGGGTAGCCAGATATGGTGAAAGGTAGCGTCTAACCCAAACGCAAACTAAACATCGGCAGCTGGATGTTTAAAACTGAGCATGAGCAGAGGTCATGGGGACTGGTATGGTTTTGGATCAGACATCAGAGAGCGCAGTGGGAACCACATACACGGTCTCTGCACAGCGGTGAAGTAGGCAAGAGAAAACCACTTCACTACATTCCTAAGACAATTTTCTACCATATGGAGTGTTACAAAATTAGATTAGGTCAGTCAGGCGAACCGATTGACAATCGGCGTCTTTCCACGTCCGGGGTGGGAGATGTGAAATGGGCTACCGGGCTCAATGTGACAGGGAACCAGGTCGCAGGTGCACAAAGGACTACTGGAACACTAAATAAAATCTCTCTTCGGAAAACCAACAGATTTGGAAGTTGGAATATACGAGGTTTGATACAACATCCTGGAAAGTTACATATAATAGAGAGAGAAATGGCTGATTATCGAATTTCTATGCTTGGCATCAGTGAAACTCATTGGAAGGGTAAGGGGCATTTCCGAAGCTCCTCTGGCAATACCATTTATTTCTCAGGCCACCAAACAGAGAGCATCAATGGGGTTGCAATTATAATACCACCCACATTCCAGAACTACGTAAATGGATATGATGCAGTTAATGACAGAATTATACATCTGAGACTAAAGTGCTCAAAATCCATTCTACACATCATACAAATATATGCCCCGACATCCACGGCAGAACAAGCAACACTAGAAGACTTTTATATGGCTCTCGAAGGTGTACTTGATAAAATACCAAACAAAGACATAGTGGTGATACTAGGCGACTTTAATGCTTAACTTGGAAGAACGAATCTAGATGACCACATGAAGATGATTGCAGGGCCATATGGTCTAGGAGATAGGAATGAGCGAGGAGACCGACTACTAGAATTCGGCAACCAAAGGAAATTTTCTGTAATGAACACGCATTTCAAACATCATCCGCGTAGACTCTATACCTGGAAATCACCTGGAGATAGAACAAGAAATCAAATAGACTTTATTCTGATCAGTTCGAGATGGAAGTCTTCAATTACCAACGCAAAAACATTTCCAGGAGCAGAATGCGGAAGCGATCACCAGCTCTTGATGGCAGATTACAGAATGCGTTTCAAGAACATACGCAAAGCTTCTCCCCGTTCTTTTGGGCTAACGGACCCCGAATTAGCTACCTTTCAAGAGAGAATTGAACCAGCACTAACCAGAATAGGGAACAATCAGTCAGAACAAAGCGTGGATGAAGCCTGGACAGATATTAAAGAAACCATCGTAACAACAGTGAACCAATGTCGCCAACCATCTATAAATAATAGCATTAAACCATGGATCAGCAGAAACACGTGGAAAGTGATTGAACAAAGAAAGCAACTTAAAGTTGGCCCCTATGATCAACAGACATATAAAGCTCTCTCCAGAGATATTCAACGAAGATGCCGGAAAGACAAACAAGAATACATCTCTGAAATCTGCCAAGAAATAGAAAATCACGGATATCGAAATGAAACCAAAGACCTCTTCCGAAAAGTGAAAATTCTTGCGAGAGAATTTAAACCCAGGAACTATGCAATAGAGGACAAACATGGTATTATCATAAGTGATATCGACAGAGTGTTGGAAACATGGAAAAACTATTGTTCAGAGCTCTACAGGGAAGAACACGTAAATCTAGGCCACACTTCAGCCCTCGAAAACACTGAATACAACCCTGAACCTGAAATTCTGCTGTCCGAGATTGAAGAAGCTGTAACTCACCTCAAGAAGAATAAATCCCCTGGCTGTGTTGATATCACGGGAGAGCTCCTTCAGAACATGGGAGACAAAGGATGTTACATAATGTGGAAACTTTGTAATAAAATTTGGAGATGCGGAAAGTGGCCCAGAGAATGGCGCACATCATTGTGCATACCAATCCATAAAAAAGGAATAACTACAAAGTGTAGTAATTATCGTACCATCTCACTGATTTCCCATCCAAGCAAAATATTACTAAGAATCATTAAACGCCGTTTGCAACAGTACTTAGACAACCAAATTCCCCAAGAACAAGCAGGCTTTGTCAAAGGGAAGGGTAATCCTCAATATGCGTGCTATTATTATGAAAAAGCTAATATCACATAATTCATTTCTATGCAATTGAAGTAGGAAAAATTTAAATGATTTACCTTAAATGATATTTCATAAGGCTTCAAGCTAACTGCAGCCTGCCTGATGACTTTAGTTTTTATATCATAACTTTTACTATTATTGTTTTTAATTACTTACATGCTTTTAATCACATGAAAAACTTGATTTTCCAGTACTAGATTTTTTCCTTTCTTCGCCGTTTTGGTTAAAAAGATAAATTGTGATGAATTTTTTAAAAACCCATTTTTTAATGCTATGTTTATTTGTAATTAATTAAAAAAATGAATTATTAATAATTGTTAATTTCGTATGCATTTATCATATGTTTAACCTCAAATTGGGAGGTCCAAAACTGTCAGATGAATCCAATAGGTGTCGCGTCGGTCACACACGGAGCGAATAGAGAGTAATAAAAAATCACATTTTTTAAAAACACTCAACACATCAAAAACGTCGCATAACAGTCACAGTTAAAACACGCTTTTTAAAGTTCCTTACAAATTTTTAGAGATTTAAACAGTATTAAATACAGTTCCGTAGTAGTAGTCATACAAATTAGACGTGCCTTAGGTACAGCAATCGAGACTCCAGTAAACCGCCCATTGTTTAATACAATACAATTTAATTTTTTTTAATGCAATTAATATTGTTCCTTAAATTGTGAAATTTGTGGCGTTCTAACAGCAATATCGTTAATTGAACCACCTACCATATGAGTGTCAATAGCGGGGGAAACCCCCTGACCCCAAAAAATCCAAAAACCAGCTATGTCTGGACATATATTCGAGAATCAAAGTGATGCCGAAATGGATCTTTCTGTAAGTACTCCAATTCCAATCAACTTGATGAATAATCCAAATACAATCAATCTGAATGAAACACAACAAAAAGTAACAAAACAGGTAAGGCAAGCATTTTTATTCAATAGTAATGATCTAGGCCCCTATCATGTATATATCGAGAATAGCTCTACTGAGTTGAAAGTTAAACTAAATCCATTAAAGATTGGTGAAATTATTTTGTCTAACTTTCCTGAAGCATACAATATGATTTCAAGTATAGACGGCAATGACCGAAATAGAATTAGAGTCAAATGTAATAAAGATTATAAAACTGCTAACAACCTCATCAAAAACAAAACTCTAGAAATATTTCGTTTAAGTAATTTAGATCTGTATATTCCAAAATTTATTTTACACAGACAAGGAGTTATTAGGGATATAAACATAGATTTATCAGAAGAGTATATTAAAAATAGAATTAAACAGTATGATAGTCATTGCATATTTGAAATTGCAAACGTTAAAAGAATTACGCGTAAAGTATAAAAATTTGTTAATGAGGAAAAAATTGTCGAATATGTCTCTACTAAGTCTTGTATTGTGACTTTTAAATCGCAAACTTTACCTAAATATATAGTCATCAATAAGGCTATTAAAGAAGTTGAAATATATAAACAGAAAGTTTTGTTATGCTTTAACTGTCTTAGATACGGTCACTTAGAAAATCAATGTAGGAGTCAGCCTAGATGTAACAGATGCCAAGAAACTCATAATTCAAAGGACTGTACAAAAGCTGAGTTCACACAAGTATGTTTCAGTTGTAAGGGGAATCATTTGACCACAAATTTAAGCGCTTGCCCATAATTCACATGACAAAAGTTAATAAAAGAGACTAAGAGTTTAACAAACATTAATTTTTACGATGCAAATAAACAAGTGCCAATACAACCAACATTGTTACAAATTCTCCATAAAATTCACAACCTTCTACTTTCTTCCAGGGAAATAATTTTGCTAAATTTATATTTAATCCTCACACAAACACCAGAAAAAAATAGTATCTATAGTTTCCCCTCCAAAACATCCCGAGGGAATAGTTAAAAGTCAATTTTACCAAAAAAACTTAAACATTGCAGATTCACGGTCAGAAGAGTCAGAGTCAGATAACTCTTCTGTAATAAATGTCATTTTAGATTCGGTTCTTACAAATTGTTAATTAAAGTATTTTAATATTTCAAAAGCTGATGTAATTCAGATAATTAGTAACCATTTTACACAAAATCTAGCATCAAATTCGCACACTTAAATAAAATAAACGTATTACAGTGGAACTGTCGTTCAGCAGTAGTTAATAAACAGCATTTAGAATATTTACTTCATCAAAACGTAATCACTATAGCTCTATTATCTGAAACCTGGTTCAAACCGGGAAAATATTATAATTTTAAAGAATTTAATTGTGTTAGAGCTGACCGCCCTGATGGATATGGCGGTTGTGCCATCCTTTTGAAAGCCAACATAATAGATAAAGAAATAAATTTTCTAAATACGTATCCGTTTACATATAAGTGTACATATTTCAATAAAAATTTCACATTTCAAGAAAGCTTTAGATACATATAATTTCTCTATATAATGAACCCAGCAACAAAGTTTTAATTCAACAATGGATAAATTTTTAAGAAAATATACCAAAACCATTTATAATTGGAGGCGATTTTAAAGCACACAATTTGGCATGGGGCTGCGAAATTGATGATGGATTAGGTAAAGATCTTCTAGATGCTATAGAATACTGTAATTTAGGATATTTAAACGACGGGTCCCCCCATTGTTGCTATTTCCAATAAACCTTCTGCTGTAGACTTTCCCGAGATATTGCCTTTCATTTTCGTTGGAATACTCTACAAGAACCTTATGGATCCAATCATGCGCCAATTATTTTTTCATCACAAAGTTTCTCCGCAGCAGAAGCCACATCCAGTAGAAAGATTTGAATAGGGAACTTTAACAGAGCCAATTGGATGATGTATACCAGTGCTTTGGAAACAATGAAAATACCATTAATCTACGAAGAATTGTTGACAAATATAAACCAGGCAGCCAACGTCGCTATCCCAAAACATTCTTCAATTAAAGAAAAAACAAAGGTCATATTTCGAAACATGTCATCAAAAACGTGAAACAAAAATATTAAATAAAATAAGAACAAAGGAATGTATTCGCATACGACGTAGTTGATAATATTATGTATCTACGTAGTATACTCATCAACGAAAGGAAATTTGAACAGAACATATAAAAGAATAATATTAATCTCGTACCAGTCCATGTTTTCATAAACAATAAGAATACCAGATAGAAGAATTGAGAGATTTGATTTTGATGAGACAGAATTATTCGAATACCTTGTCCAAAATTCTTGAGGCGGTTCTCTAACTTTAAGGATAACTATTTAGAAGGATATTAATCGTATTTGATGATTAAATCACTCATGCCGATAATACAGAGAAACTATATACGTGTCCAGTGAAAACGAAGAAAAGCTAAGTAGAAGGCCATCATAAACCAGATGAACTAGCATAGTGGAGAAAAACTACTAAACACCAACTTCGCGAGTATAGTACGGACAACTAAAAAAAAACAATAAGGAAGAAGGTCAACATTCATAACTACTTAGCATTTGCAATAATGCATGAAAGATAAAAACATAATTGCATTAAGTATACTTACTAAAAGCTTTTAATTAACTGCAGTCCGTACTCGGTGGCTTCTTCGAATTTACCGAATTCAATGCTGCTGTCAAATGCTAAATCTAAAGTTTTAATGTGTTTTAAATTATATTTATATAAAACACCTTTTTGTTTCTTTAAACACACTTTGCAAACATCTAGAACTGAATAGCCATTAAGGAAATATACTTTTCTTGAATATAAAAATATATTTTTAATCGCATAAAACCGCAATCTAAAAAATAATAGTATAAGAATAGTTTTTCTGACAAAACATGTTATCTGCGCTGGTTTAGTGACACAAAGCCACGCAGCAAACGACAATAAAATTTCAAAAGGTGCAAAAGACTCTCTTACATAACCATCACAACTACTGCAACATTTAAAACCTCATTACTAGCAATAGATTTTTGTGTTCATAGAACCTGAAAAATGCCTTAATTCGGCCAATACATTAATTGCCTATCAACGTCAAGCTGCACTAAATACTATTTGAAACACTAACTGAAGGCTGAAGAAATGACTTTTGAATGGGAACAAAGGAAGAGATGGTACGATCTCATTCTGTCAAATATACAGGGACTAAATCAATTTAAAATGGATTGTTTATAATATTCTAATTATAAGGAGTCAAGAGTTTATTTTGTTCATCAGAAGGAAGATATCTTAGACATATTTAAATATCAAATTAAAAAGAAAGCACCGTGTGATTTTGATGAAATATCGGGTATAGTAATTATAAGAAAATTAATTTTCACATTTTGACTCCACTTTTTCACATTATAAATGCTTCTTTCAATACTCGTGTTTTCCCAGTATGCTGAAAACTTCTATCATTTCACCGGTATTAAAACAAGGTGATACTTAGTTAATATTAAATTTTCGGCCATTGTCTGTTCCTGTGTGGTATCTAGATTATTGAATATGCAATGCTAAAATAACTTTTATCATTTTTAGATAATAACCCAGTTATCAAAAAACATCAACAAGGATTTCGAAATAAATGTTCTACTTCCACATCCCTTTTTTTATAAAGAATATTTATTTCAATTGAAAATGACGAAAGTCCGACGGCAATTTTTTGTGACCTCAGTTGTGCTTTTGATTGTGTACAACACGATATATTTTTATACGTATATTATACGATACGTATATTTTTATACGATATCGATAGATTGTACAGATATCGTGTTAGGGGATTTGCCCATAGTTGGTTTGGATCCGATCTGAACGACCGATGCTAAATAGCTAAAATAAAAAATGACTTCAAGATTTCAATGTCTGATCCTATTGTTAATAAGAATAGAGTGCCACAGGGATCGATATTGAGCAAATATTTATTTATTTTGTATATTATTGAACTACCATATGTAACATTCAACGTATTTGTATCAGTTTATGCGGATTGTAGCGTTTACGCTACTGACTAGTCCAATTTAAACCCCTCAAGAAATTTTCTTATAACCCGCCAGTGATCGATTTTTAAATCGACATTTCTCCACACACGCGCAGTAGTCGCTTAAAAAGGAAGATTGATCGATTTTGTGCGGAAGCGAAGCGGTCAGTTTTGGTCAGAACTCATACGCAGCCACGTCAACCGGTGAAATTTTTTCACCTTCAAAGTGACGGAATTGGAGCAAGGAAGATAATTTGGGGAAGAATATAGTTCATAAATAATAATATAAATAAGTAATTTTTCTAATAAAATCAATACTAATCTAAGAGTTCCATATAAAAAGGAAGAGTTTTTTTTGGCGTGCTGCGGCTCCATGTAAGTAAATCATTTCATACGTATTATCTCTTTATCATATAATCAAATTTATCATTGTATTTAGTATTTCTTTAGAGATTTATTTTTGAGTTCCGAAATAATTTAAATATAAAATTTCCTTGATTTACTTGCAAAGAACAGAAGGTCATTTTTTTTATATAGTTAAACTTAAATTCTGTTTTAGTCCATGTCTTTATCATTAAGTTTTTTGGTTTTTTTTTTCTCTAACTTTTTTTGGTGGAATATACAAGGTTTCTACAGCCTTCTGTGTTCTGCGCGTGTTCATTTCATGGCACAAGGCTGTCATGTCTACGAAATGAACTTCGGAAATTCTGACATGTTGACATAACCTAATGTTTTGATGTTTTGTTTTGGTGCAGTCAATCCATGCTGCTACACCTATTAAATTATATTTGTTAAATTAAATAATAATCATTTTTAGATTCCGTCACTTCACTTGAGAGTATTCTCTTGAGAATATTCCCTCAAGGATACTGTTAACTTTGAATCCTTAGATACATAGTTAGCAACTTGTGTATGTAACCCGTGGATTTTGCTGTCACCCAGAGACCAGTGACTGGTTGTGGCTTTGTGCCCAGGATTCGTCTTTACAGCCACAAACTGATGTAACCGTGCCAAGAGGAATTTTCCTATGGACTTATGGGGCTGTAAAGATAAGTTGCTTGACTGTGTAATTTTTTTTGTTACTATCTATTTACTGTTAACTCATCATATGCATATGATAAGGTGAATACCTTTGTGATAATTTAATTTTTGATATAATCTAATTCTAAAATATTGGGGAGAAGAAAATACATTACATATTTTTATTGGGTTTTTAAATAGGATATACAGAGTCTGACCAAACTCACTTTTTTTGATATAATATTTTTGTTAATATAATACAATTTGATATTGAGGGAGGGACATAAATTTAATGTGGTTTTTTTAAATATATATAATGAGTATTGAGAACTCACTTTTGAGGTAATATAGTTGTAACAGAGTTATCATTGTTGATATCTGTACAATACGGTAATTATTTCTCATTTTAGTAGAATTATTTAAATCTAAATTACTAACCTTAGTGTTAAGACTTAGGCTACCCTACGGACTATTCTTGGTTTATACTAATATTTCATATTTTATTTGGCCAGTGGTAGTGACTATTCATTTATATTGTTCTGAAGCTATTTTCTTGTGGCATTGTAAATTAATTACTATTTATAACTGGGAATAAGCCACAATTAAAGATAAAAATACATTTATTGACGTTTCAATTTCCAATTCGGAAATCGTTCTCAAAATACAAATAGTAAATTAAACAAATTTTGTTTTTTGTTACATAGTGAAAAAATTCTTCTGATAATTTAATTTTATCTGACTCATTTATATTGACAATTCAGACATACATTATGCATTTTAAAGTAGACGACTTTAAAATGATATTGCCAATATTGTTGAGTTGCGCTCCTGGGACGACTTTACTTATAAGATAGTTCATTCGATTACATGAAATCAACTTTAACTTGAGAATATCCGTCAGAAAAAATCATAGCATGTAATTCGTCTTTAAAAAGACAAACACATGACATGATGACAGTAAAATTCTCCTGTTAGTGATTCCATAGTAAATTATGAGGGAAAAACCAGGAAAAAAACCTCATAATACTATCCCGACATTGTAAGTATTTGTTCGTGAATTTAGTTTACCTTCAACAAACATCAAAATTCTGATTTTATGTTACGTTATTTAAAAAACATAAATGATGTATCCTCTATATGTTACTGACTTACTAATACTGGTATTTTCTTATTAATAACTTCCTCTTTCAATATTGGTAACCAGATCCTACTACATTCTGCCGAGGAATTTGCGACACAATTGGCCTCATTTAGCATAATTAGAGCCGCTTCTTTGATTTTTCTTTTTTTACCATCCGTTTCTTTTAGGACTATATTTGAATTATTCCATTGAACTCTATGTTCATTATCCCATGCGTGTTTACATATTTGAGATCTATCAAATTCTCTATTTTTAATATAAGATTGATGTTCACTTATTCTAACATTTAATGGCCTTGATGATTCACCTAAATAAAACTGATCGCATTCACAAGGTATTTTATAAATGCAATTCTTTGTCCTTTCTTGTTCATTGTTAGGTTTGGTTTTGGACAAAATAGATCTCAACGTGTTTGTTGTTTTGAATGTTGTTGAAATGTTGAATTTATTTCCTATCCTTTTAAGTTTTTCTGATAATCCTTTTATGTACGGTATTGTTATTTTCCTCATATTATTCCTTGTGTATGCTGTAGGATCTCGTTCTAAGTTGTTCTGTTCTATTCGATCGATTGTTGAAAATTCCTTATTTATAAACGATAAAGGATAATCATTTTTTAATAAAACAGATGTTAACAAATGTTTCTCCTCCAAGAACGAATTTTCGTTAGAACAAGTAATTTTGGCTCTATCGTATAAGGATTTAATTATTCCCTTTTTTACATTAATATTGTGATTTGATTTGAAATTTAAATATCTATTGGTGTGTGTTGGTTTTCTATACACCTGAGTCTCATATCCAGTATCGTTCTTAGAGATCAAAACATCCAGGAAAGGTAGCGTGTTATTATATTCCTTTTCCATGGTAAATGTTATTGTCTCTTCTTTATCGTTTATATCGTTTAGGAATGTGTCCAACAACTCTGATCCATGAGGCCATATTGAGAATACATCATCTACATACCTCCACCATACTGTGGGTTTGAAATTTTGTTTAGAAATGATATTTGTTTCAAAATCTTCCATAAATATATCGGCTAAGAATGGAGATAAACTAGAGCCCATTGCTAGACCAAAATTTTGTTTATAGAATTCATTATTTAGTTGAAAATATGTATTATCAGTACATAATGTTAATAACTCCATTATAGCCGATATGTTTAGTCTTGTTCTAGTTGCCAATGAATCATCACTCTCTAATTTTGTCTTGACTATACTTAAAGTTTTATTTAATGGCACATTCGTAAATAAACTATTTATGTCAAAACTTACCAAAGTATTATTTGAATTAAATTCAATATTTGATAATTTATTTAAAAAATGTTGTGTATTTTTTATGAATGTGTCATTTTTATTTGTATAAGGTTTTAAAATATTTAATAAAAATTTTGATAGTTCACTACAAGGAGAATTTATGGTACTACAAATGGGTCTAAGTGATATAAATTATATAAATATAAATATAAATATAAATCTAAATCTAATCCCAGGAGCGCAACTCAACAATATTGGCAATATCATTTTAAAGTCGTCTACTTTAAAATGCATAATGTATGTCTGAATTGTCAATATAAATGAGTCAGATAAAATTAAATTATCAGAAGAATTTTT